GGTCCCGAAGGAAGGTGCGGAGGGCTCCCCTGGCACAGCTGGAGCATGAAGAGGGGTCCAGGCAGTGAGCACGGCATACAGAGGGGCGGCCACCACACCACGCGATGACCCCAGACACCAGCGGTCCAGGTGTCCTCAGGGATGGTCGGGAGGCGAGGCGGCGATTCCCTCCTTCCCGTTAGTGTGCACGGCTACTCTAGACTCCCGCAGGTGGCATTAACCCCCAGGATGCTCGCACAGGCACAGACTGGTAAATGCAGGCTTCGCTCCCCCAGGAAAGGTTACGGAGAGACAAACCGAAACCTCGGAAACACCATTTCCGCTCCCGATAGAGCGCGCGCTCTATCCAACCCACTTGAGGAAAAGGTGGCATCTGTCTCTGGGAAGCCGAGCACGGTTGTGCTATGCTGCGCGAGGCTGTGCTGCGCAGACCTACGGCTCTGCTGCCTCGGGCTGGTTTTCGTGAAAAGCCGAGCGGCTGAGGGTGGCGGCTCGCCGGTGAGTGGCTTCCCCTGCTGGGCTCTCGGAGGTAACCGGGGCATTGACTCTTTGGCCGCTTCTGCTAAGCGTCAGTACCGGGAGGCAGCCGACCCTAGGCTGCAGCGTTTCTGCCGGTGCGGGAAGTGTCCGAAGCGAGGCGGTGATCAGCCGGCGTTGGCATCCTCAGGCAGGGGCAATTAAGGGCCCCGCCTTGGCTCTCACGCTTGCATCTGCACCTGCGTGGAGAGACGTCCCTGCCTTCGCGAAGTAGCTTATGTTGACGTAAAGGCAGGGAGAGGCTCACGTCTCCAGAACCGCCGTGGACAACAAGAAACTGACAACATTTCGGTTTACCTCAGGGAAAGGAGGCCCACTAAACCTCACTTACAGGTCTAAATAGCGCTCGCGGAAATATAAAATCAGTAAAATGACACCTTAATCACCAGCTCTGCTGTCTCTTGCTTTGTCTCTTCTCTCCCACCGAACATCCCCATCTGACAAGGTCTCACTGTGTAGCTCTGATTGACTTGGATTCGATTCCCAGCATCCACAAAGAGGCTCACAATCATCTATAACTGGATCCAGGGGGATCTGACGCCCTCCGTGGGCACCATGCCCGCAAGTGATAGAGACATACATGCAAGCAAAATACCCCATAGACATAAAAGAGAAACAAAAGCCTCATGATTTAAAAAAAATTTTTTTGTTGTTTAAAGATTTGCCTATACAAATGTATGTATACCACCTGTGTGCCTGGTGCCAGTGGAGGTCAGAAGAAGGTATCAGATTCCCGGAATTGGATTTACAGACAGTTGTGAACTATTCCGTGACTGGTAACTCCGAGTGCCTTCTGCTTGTGCAGCAAGTGCTCTTAACTGCTGAACACATCTCTTGAATCCATAGTAGTTTACATTAGGGGGCAAGTCGGGGCCCTTTCTGTTCCGTTTTCTTAGAAGTAGCAAATCTTCATGATCATCGTGGCTTTTTATTGAAGTGTGCTTCCCTTCTCCTCACCATCCTGTCTTTGGTGCCTTCGGGAAGAAGATTCTTTCATTGAGTTTTACACCAGACCAGCCTGTGCTTCGGTTGTCAAAGGGGGCACCTGTACAGTGTCCAACATAGGAGCAAATCTGGTAAAAGAGCAGAATGGTGATTGTGAATCTGGGAATGGCTGAGTATTTGGACCCTCAGATAAAAGCTTTATGGTATCCAAGGAGCCTGAGCAAAGAAGGCCAGTCAAAGTACAAAATCCATTCCACAAAAAGACAATCCTAAACCTAAGAGCTTTTGCTGGCACTTCTGGAACTTCAGTTATCACAAAGCAGCTGGCCCCTGTAGGGCTGTCAGCCAGCTTCAAGAATTATTCCATCTATGGCTGAGACCAGAGATCCACTCAAAAGAGCAAATTCTGGAATTGCTTGTGCTAGAACAGTTTCTGACCATTCTACCAAGGGAGGTGCAGTCTCAGCTAGAGAAACAGCATCCACAGAGCATTGAAGAGACAGTGACCCTGGTTAGCATCTGCAGAGGGACCCTGAGCAAGTGAGGAAGCAGGGGAGGTGGGGAGAGAAACATTGCTGTCATGTACCGTGAAATGAGATGATGGTGGAAATCATGGGGATGGGAAAGTTAGTTTAAAATGATAGTTAAATCACTTCTGTTGCTCTTTAGGGCACTTAAGGTAGGACCTGAAGTATAAGCACATAGAAAAAGTCAGTCTACTGTTTTAGAGGTTGTGACAGTCTTGGCACACTTTAGGAAAAAGTTGCATTTTTGCTCTTTGGAGCTATGATGGGTGAAGAGTAATGGTTTTGTCTAAGAAGACAGAAAGCAATTGGAACTAGGGCCTTGGGTATGCTGGGCAAGAGTTCTGCCAGGTGTGTGTGTGTGTGTGTGTGTGTGTGTGTGTGTGTGTTTGCCTGCACACACTCATCCCTATGTGTTCTAGCACTCAGCTGTTCATGTTGAGATCAGAGATCAGCTTCAAATGTCTTCCTCTATTGCTTTGCATCTTACAGTTTTGAGATAGGGGCTCTCACTGATCTCTACTGAACTTAGAGCTCTCCACGTTTCTCTAGACTGGCTGGCCAGTGAGCCTTCCACCCTCCTTCACTAGGCTATAGGCAGGAGCTGCCATGCCTGGCTATTATGTATGTACTGGGTATGGAACTCAGGTTCTCATGCTTGCACAACGTACACTTTACTAAATGAGCCACCTGCCCTACTTTTAAATTTGCATTTATTTTTATTAATTTTTCTGTGACAATTTCTTATATGAATATAATACATTCTGATTGTTCTCATCCCCAAACTTCTCACTCAGGCAACTCTTCCTAAAACTCCCCTTCCCACTCCATGTCTTCTCGTTTTGAACCCTGCTGAGTGTTATTAGGGCTGCATGTGTGAACATGGAGTTGGAACTATATACTGGAGCCTTCAGATTTGATACAGGGGCTTGCTATGTAGCCCACATATCCCTTGAATGTGTGATCCCCATGCCAAGCCTTTCAAGTAGCTGGGATGATAGGACTGTACCAGCATACTAAGCAGAACCTAAATTCTTAGAATAAAAGGCAGTGAAGGGGAGGAGGAATATACAAATTAAAAGACTGTCTTAGTTATGGTTTCTATTGCTGTGGTGAAAAACCATGACCATAAGCAAATTGGAGAGGAAAGGGTTTATTTTTCTCACATTTCCACATCATAGTCCATCACAAAGGCAAATCTGGACAGGAGCCTGGAGGCAGGAACTGATGCAGAAGCCATGGAGGAGTGTTGCTTACTGGCTTGCTCTCCATGGCTAGCTCAGTCTGCTTTCTTTTTTTTTATAAGATTTTATTTATTTATTATGTATACAACATTCTGCTTCCATGTGTATCTGCACACCAGAAGAGGGTACCAGATCTCTTAATGGATGGTTGTGAGCCACCATGTGGTTGCTGGGAATTGAACTCAGGACCCTTGGAAGAGCAGTCGGTGCTCTTAACCTCTGAGCCATCTCTCCAGCCCTCAGTCTGCTTTCTTATACCATCCAGGACCACCAGTCCAAGGAAGGCACTGCCTGTAATGGGATGGGCCCTCCTACATCAGTTATCAATCAAGGAAGTGCACCACAGGCTTGCCCACAGGCCAGACTGGTGAGGGTATTTTATCAATAGAGATTCTCTCATCCAAAATGATTCTAGTTTGTGTCAAGTTGACATAGATCTAGCCAACACAAAAGCTTAAAGATGAAAGGAGAGCAAAGCAGTAAGACAAGCAGAAATCATACAACTAGGTAAAGGCTGCCTAGGAAAAGAAACATTAGAAGAAAAGGCTAATGGGTTTGGAAAGAAGACAAGTCCCAGTGGCTGCGAGAGGAAAGGTAGCACTAGTGTTCTTCTTGCTCTAGGAGCACCAGCATTCTTCCTAGTGTTTAGTCCCCTGCTTTGCTACTGAGAGATGAGTAGGTGACAGCTAGCCTGAGGTCTATTGTAAAGAATAAAGGATGTGTTAAAAATAATTGGCAGGTGGATTAGCAACACTTTCTTTTTTCTCTATTCTATCTGCATTCTTGGAATACCTTCTCCTACATTAAAGAAAATCTGGCCAACAGGAGAAATTTCATTCAGTTCCTTAGTTTTTGGAGAAAATGGAACATACTATGGAGAGAAGGGCCTCATACCATCCTTCCCTTAGGATTTAGCCACAGTTAATTTTCTTTTTTGAGACATGGTCTCATTATTCATCTCTGGCTGGCCTAGAACTTGCTATATAAATGTAGACCAAGATGGCATCAGACTCAAAGATCTACCTGTCTCCATCTCCTCCAGAGTGCTGGGATTAAAGGTGTGTGTCACTACACTAGACCTCTACAGTAATGCTGAATGGGGAAGAGAGACATTTTCTTCAGTGGCATAGCCACTGGCAAGATGCCCATGCACCTGTAACCCTTAAGAAACTTCTTTGTCATTTAAAAAGACATGAAAGTCAAAAGGGACAAGAAAGTGTAAAGGAGGGGAACACTGAATTTGATCAAAGTACATCATGCACATCTATTAAGATGTTGTAATGAAACCCACTAATAAAGGGCTGTAAGTAAAAAGTCTGCCAGACAAGCAGTGTAAGTATAGGTGACTGCCCAACCTTGCCAGTGCCTGAAGTAGACTATATACAGAGGTGAAGGTTGTGTTGAGAAACAGCAAAAGCCAGATTTTTTTCCTTTTTAATTTTCCCAGATTTCTTAACAGCTTCCCTTCCTCTCTTCTTCCTTCCTTGCTTTTCTTTTTGAAGCACTGGTGCCCAATATTGAAGACTTTTTGCTTTTCTTTTTCAGTGTCTTATACTTCCTATAGTTTGGGTGCATATTTGTACCCCCTCCCACCTCTACTTCTCCATCTAAATTAAGTTCTGTCATATTAAGGATAGGGATTATTTCTAGGTTGTAATCCATGCCCCAGGGAAGGATGCTGTGCTCTTGGGAGAAACAGAAGGGTCTGAGCTGAAGCCAGCAGAGTCTGAACCACAAGATGTGTCTCGGGATGAAGCGTTCTGGAATGTATACCAGGATCTACCAGAGCAGCCGAGCAGAAGCAAACATAGAGAAATGGACCCGTCATATGAAAGGGGTAAGGAACTTCAGGAAAATGTCTTTCTGAGAACTCCTAGTAATTTGTTGAACCAAAGTGTCATGGGCATTTTTTGATACCCAGCTCTGTGGAGCTGTGGAAAAACTGATGACACTTATGATTTTTTTTCTCAGATGCTGTACCAACTGCAGGTGATTTGGCCTAGGGTAGAGAAACATCTACATCATAGAACTCTGAAAATGACATCATGAATTCTGTTCCTTAGAAAATTGGAGAGGAAAGGAAGAAATAAAGCAAGGAGTTTGTGGCCACCTCATTCTCACAAAAATATTCACCAAATTCTCACAGTGTAAGGAATTGGGATCTGAATTGGCCACTAGAGACATGAAATACTCTAGGTGTTTAATGAAGGAAAATATGGGGTGTTAGTGAGGACACTTATTTCGTGGGGTGGGGTTGGTGGAAGATTCCATTTCCTACCAGAAACAAAGAGTTCATTTACTACAGTATCCTAGAGTCCTCAAGTACTTCAATTGGATATCTCTTTTATTTTTGCCTAAGAAAAAAATATAAGAAGAAAATAAAAAGGGTTTACAGACACTCCCCCATCCCAACAACTAAGAAAACAACTAGGGAACTTGCTCCAGCAGCTGGTAGAGACTTAGTTCTTCATTACAAGAAGACTGCTACTGGCACAACCTGACAACTTGTAAGAGTTATCTAATGAAATCTCTAATGAAAAGACCAGGACCTGTGTTTTATAAATGCACTCAGGGTGTTGATAGAAATGAGAACTTTCCTCTGGTTCTACTCTACCTACAGCCATGACTGGCCAACAGATTCTAGCCTTTTCTGAGCAGACAAGCACCAAAGACTGGGTGGTGGTACCTGAGCTCATTTTTTCCCAAGTCCTAAGTGAGCTGTGCTTTCTACATGTTTTGGCTGCTTTTCTCTACTGCCCATGATTCCGATTGCCCAAGATGGGCTCTGAATTGTGTTAGACCCAGTTATTCTAACCTGGTTAGAATATATACCTCCTAAGCTAATTCCTTATTCCTTTTGGCCTTGTTGCTTTTTAAAATGCACTCATCCCTTAGGGGATATTTTCTGGGAAATTATTTTTTTCTTATAGTATAAACATAAATTATGCTTACATGAAGAGTGGTTGTGGGTAATTTTATGAAGCTAAGATTGTGCTTATATAACCTTAGGTGTTAGAAGTCAGTTTCTTGAGAGGACTTTAAGGTAATAAAATTAGTATAGTATAGTATAGTATAGTATAGTATAGTATATATGTAAACCAGAAACAATCATTTAAGGAACATATGCCGGATGTAACTGTACTTTTATAGCACTAATGTCACAGGCTTGTTTACCCCAGAATGAAACATGAGAAATGCATTCTAAGTTAAGTCACTAAGCAGTTAGAGTTTGTAGCTCCTTGGTAATCTTATGGGACCACTGCTTTGTGGACTGTTGTTGACCAAAACATTTTTTTATGCAGTATGTGACTGCAGTTGCATGCTGTTAATCTCTTCTGTGTCTGTTTTACAGTTTGTAGCCAGGTGGTTGGACTGCTTCTGTAGGGTTCAAGTTCTGAGTTGAAATCCATTCTCTTCTTTAGAGCATGTTAAAATTTGAAGATTTGGCTGTGTATTTTTCCCAGGAAGAGTGGGAGCTACTGGGTCCCCTTCAGAAGGTTATCTACAATGGTGTGATGCAGGAGAACTTTGAGACTGTCTTCTGTGTAGGTAAAGATTTTCTCTCCTTTGTGTAAAGTTTAATAATCTGTCCTCTTGCTTACTAAGAATGAAATCCCGTGGATCTCACTTTCAGTAGCTGGCTGGTCGGTTCAGACCTACATGTTGGGAGTGGTGGTGGAGGTATACACAGATCCCTGAGAGTGTTCTTCAAAATCACATGCTCAATTCTTATCCTAAAATTTTTTATCCCTTCTAGACGCCTTTAAATGTACTCTTCTTTGTCTTTTCCATCTTGATAAAGGACACCACCGCTTAATGTCTCAGACTGTTACCCTTTACTTTGATCTTGCCATCCTCCGTCAATCACAACCAATTAAGAGATATGTTCTTAACTCTGCCTTCAAAATACAGTGTGAATCCAACCGTGTCTTAGCCTCTTGCACTATTAACATTTTGGCCAAAGCCTGTGATGCCTTGAACCAGGTAGATTTCTGGCTGGCACTCCTAACCCCATTCTTGCCCTACTATAGGCTTTAAAAATTTTTTAACTTTACCATATTTTATCCACTGATAAAGTGAATAAGTCCTGTTGTGACTTTTTATATTGACAATAAAAGCCCAGGCCTTTCCATGACCCTCACGGCCTTCTCAACCCTGCCCCTCTCCGCCTCATCTGTTCCTTGTGACCCTGTGTTCTGCCATTGCTTGCACTTGCTGTGCTCATGTCTACCTTCCTAGTTCCTCTACTCAACAGTCTGGAGCCCCTTATTGCTTCACTTTCAAACACCTTTAAATTTTGCCCAATTCAGAACAACACTCAAAGGGGGAAAGAATGCAAGCATATCATTTATTAATTCACAAATTCATGGGAACAGATTATGGTTACCTGAGAAAATAATTCTAGGGATTGATAGGCTCTTTTTTTTTTAAAGATTTATTTATTATGTATACAGTGTTCTGCATGCATGTACGCCTGCAGGCCAGAAGAGGGCACCAGATCTCATTACAGATGATTGTGAGCCACCATGTGGTTACTGGGATTTGAACTCGGGTCCTTTGGAAGAACAGTCACTGCTCTTGGGAGCCATCTCCCCAGCTGTAGGCTCTTGATTCTTATTTGTAATAAGAAATCCATTTCTGGGAGTGTACTTGTAAGGGTGTCCCTCCTCTAATGAGAGAATAAATATGTTCTGTATTTTAGAAATGTTTATAAACAAAACAAGAAATTTCCCCTGGCTCTTTTCTGCCTGCTCAACACACGTAGCCTTTCCTGAGCCGACAAGCTCCAAAGACTAGAGACTGGCACCTTAGCTAATCTTGCCTGAGTCCCAGGAGAACTGTGCTTTCCAGTTATGTAGGGCTCCCTGGGTTGACCTTATCTTTTCTTGAAGCTCAGTCAGTCAGTCAGTCACTGCTCAAAATACCTGATAGAAACTAGGAAGAAAGGATGTGTTTGGATTTACAGTTTCAAAATTCAGTAATGAGGGAAGGGTGTGGCACAGGCAGATGGTTCCTATCAGGATGGCTAGTAAACAGAAAACACCTGTGCTAGACACCTTTCTCCTCTTCACCTTCTTTCCACCCCAGCACTCAGCCTATGGGATGACAGCATCCACATTCTGGACAAATCTCCCGCTTAGTCCTCCCTGGGAACACCTGGACAGGCTCAGCTTTATGCTGTCTTCTCCAAGCAATGTCACAGTCTGGCCAAATTAACAAGAGTGTGGTGGGTGATCCATGCCTGCAATCTCAAGGGAGGTTAAGACCAGTCAGGGCTACATAACAAGACCTCATCAATAATAATAATAATAATAATAATAATAATAATAATAATAATAATAATATAATGATAAGAAGACAAAAAGAAGACCAGGGATATGATTCAGCCAGGCAAGTACACAACCTGAGTTTGATCCCCCAGAGAGCACTTAAGAACTTAAGCTGGGCATGATGGCATGCGTTTATAACTTCAGTGCTGGGGAAGCAGAGAAAGGAGGGTCCCTGGGGCTTTCTGGTCAGTGAGACTAGCCCACTTGGTGAGTTCCAAGCTGGTAAAAAAAAAAATCTCAAAAAACAAGTAAATACATAAAAAGTGGGGATTGCCCTAGTTAGGGTTACTATTGCTGTGATGAAACACCATGCCCAAAAGCAAGGTGGGGAGGAAAGAATATTTGGCTTACATATCCACATCACTATTTTCACTGAAGGAGGTCAGGACAGGAACTCAAACAGGACAGGAACCTGGAGGCAGGAACTGCTGTAGAGGCCATAGAGGCTCACTGGCTTGCTTCTCATAGCTTGCTCAGCTTGTTTGTTTATAGAACCCAGTACCACCAGCTTAAGGATGGAACCTCACATGATGTGCTGGACCTTACCCCATCAATCACTAAATGAGAAAATGCCCTATAGGCTTGCCTACAGCCAAATCTAATGGAAGCATTTTTCTCAATGGCGGCTCCCTCCTTTCTGATGACTCCAACTTGTGTCAAGCTGATATAAAACTAGCCAGCATGGGGGTGTCTCCTTAGAAACAACCCAGGTGGTTCTCTGGCCTCTATATGCACTCGTACACACTTTAACCATCAGAGCATGTTACTGTAGATACTCTTCCCTAAACAACTAAGCTTGGCCCAGGAAATCCAGGCACTTCCCAAGCTGTGTACTGAGTCCTTCCTTTCTGCTTTTTTCACTTAAAAAAATTGTTATGTACTGTTAGTTCCTTCAAAACTCGCCCTACTACACAGTTCTTAAGTCCAGTTAGTACTGAGCTGAAGTCCATTCCAATTTTTTTTTTTTTTTTTTGGTTTTTCAAGACAGGGTTTCTCTGTGTAGCTTTGGAACTTATCCTGGCACTGGCTCTGGAGACCAGGCTGATCTCGAACTCACAGAGATCCGCCTGCCTCTGCCTCCCGAGTGCTGGGATTAAAGGCATGCGCCACTAACGCCCAGCTGAAGTCCATTCTATTTAGAACTTGTTGGTATTTGCAAACTATCCCAGGAAGAATGGGAGTTATTGAATCCCATTTAAGGCTCTCCTCTACAGCTTTGTAATGCAGGTAAGTTGTGAGGTTGTCATCTTTGTAGACAGAAGCTCTTCTTCCTTTTGTGAAGTTCTATAACCTATCATCTGGTTTTTGGCTTATTGAGAATAACCCTGGTCAGAGTTCCACCCTTCCGTTAGGTAGATACTGAAGAGGAGGGAGAAAGATGTATCCAGGTGATGTGGGAGCTTTTTCCAGATTTGCGTATTCATCGATTACTTCCATAAAATTACTGATCTAGTCTGCCACTCTTAACCTTAGATTTGTTCATGGGGTTTCCACTTGGTAAAAGACATTATCACCACCCAGTTAGGAAAAAAATGTAGTCAATTCTTTAATCTCACTTTCATATCCACAAGTTTTATATTATACACTGAGTCCAACAAGGTCTCAATCTCCTGAAGTAGTAAAAACTATATAGATTTCTAGGTATTAGTTCACATATTCTGTTCTTGGCCTACCACTGTCTTTATATAGAAGCTAGAGTCACTCTAAAAATACTGTATTGGCTTCTTTTTAAAAAGATTTTTTAGGCTGGGTAGTAGTGATGCACACCTTTGATTCCAGCACTCAGGAGGCAGATGCAGGCAGATCTCTCTGAGTTTGAGGCCAGCCTGGTGTACAGAGCAATTCTAGGACACCCAGAGCTACACAGGGAAACCATGCCTAAAAAAATAAAATAAATAAAAAACAATGTTTTAACTGTGTGTGTGACTCTCTCTCTTTCTCTCTCTTTCTCTCTCTTTCTCTCTCTGTGTCTCTGTCTCTCTCTCTCTCTCTCTCGCTCTCTCTCTCTCTCGCTCTCTCTCTCTCTCGCTCTCTCTCTCTCTCGCTCTCTCTCTCTCTCGCTCTCTCTCTCTCTCGCTCTCTCTCTCTCTCGCTCTCTCTCTCTCTCGCTCTCTCTCTCTCTCTCTCTCTGTGTGTGTGTGTGTGTGTGTAAGTGAGGGATCCCTTGGAGTTCAGGAGAAGATGTTGCATCTCCTGGAGCTGGGGTTACAGGTGATTGGGAGTTGTCTGAGGTGGGAACTGAACTTGGGTCCTATCCAAGAGCAGCAAGTTCTCTATCTCTGAGCCGTCTCTTCAGCTCTGCTGTGTTCCTTCCTTTATCTATGCCCTCAATTCAATCTTTAGTCACATTGTGGCTTTTCCTTTTCCTCTGTGTAGCATTAATTTTTTTGCCATGTGGCAAAGACCATGTTGTGCTTTCTGTTCAAATAATACTTTCTCAAAGAATTCTATAAACCTTATCTGAAATAGGCTCCAAAGAGCAAAATGTTAGAATTCTTCCTCATCATGTTTAGTTTTTTTTTTGGCACATTCTGTTTTTTAATAGTGTATTGCATCATTATCCTACCAGAACACAAGCTTTATGAAATCACCAACTTTGACTTCGGTACTCTATCCTCAGTAAAGTATCTACCACATCACACCTGCCCAACAAGTGTTCATCTCCTTTGAGTGTTGAGTATTGACATGCTTTACTTTGGACTTAACATCTCCCAGTCACTTAGAATAATTATTGAAGTAGTTAATAATCCAGGAATGGTGATTAACTCCCGTAATTATACCACCTAGAAGCTGAAGCAGGTGGATGCTCCAAGTCTGAAGCCAGCCTGGGCTACCGTGTGAGTTCCAGAATAGCATGGGCTAGCAATATCCTGTCTCAGAAAATATTGAGTGACAAATACTTCTTATAGCGGATAAACTAAAAAAGTTCAAGTGCTTGGGTGTCTCTTCTAGATGAATATGAAACAGTGCGTGATGGAGGTCAGCCAGCAGGTAAAGGGCACTTACTGAGCAAACCTCAAAACCTGAGTTCAGTTGCCCAGAACTTGCATAAAGATGGAAGGAGAGAAATGGATCTAAAAAGTTGTCCTCTGACCTTCACATGCATGCTGGGGCACTCATTCCCTTCCCACCAAGTCACACAATAATTTTGTTATAGTAAGAGTGATTTAGCCAGGTGGTGGTAGTACATACCTTTAATCCTAACACTTGGAAAGCAGA